AAAATCCCGGGCTCAAGCGATTCTCCTGCCTCATCCTGGGAGCTGGGACTACAGGCACGTCCTATAGCTCCAGGTTTACTTTCTTTCAAAAACAAAAATGACAACAGAAAACAAACAAAAAAAGGTTTCTATACAAATTCCACAATAGAGAAACAGTAAAAGAAAACGAGAAGTCTATAACTAGATAACCCATCTGGGTTCCAATATTTTTACAATACTGAATACAGTACTTTCATTTTATCGCTATACAGTTCTGAAAACATTCTTTACTGTAGCAATTAGAGAGGCAGCCCCCAACAGCCAGGAAAAGTTTCTGGATCCAGACAATTTACATTTCAGATTCTGTACCAGTAATGGATTTTAGACCATTCTTTAACTCTGACTTATGAAATTTCCAGACCCAGGGAGCATTTACGCTGCCAAGAGTTTGTTTCTCTGAACTATTTCAGGGGAATGATTTGGAGGAAACTTGTGGGGTCAGTGGCTTGCAGTGATCCCAGAGATACTAATGAGATCCTAATAAAGGTCATTTGTATTAAGGTAGTGTGAGGAGAAACTAATGCAGATTCCTGGTAGTACCCTGTAATGATGCTGGTTTTCAAAGTTTGGTGCCCAAATACCCTATCTTCACTGGATTGAGAGAGTCACACACTAAACTTGGACTATGCACGGATTTTACAAAGCTTGGTTTTCAGCAAAAACTCCTTTGATCTTGGAACATTATAAAAGGTAAATAGGAAATTTCTGTTCACTCATACTCAAAAGAAAGAAAAGACCCCCTTGGAGTTTTTAGTCCATAAAAGTGGTCTAAATTAAAAATTCTTAGATACTTTGTGGTGCTACATAAAGGATGGCAATGACCATAAAGGAATAACACGTTAATAGTTTCAAATGCCAAACTCACTGCAAATGATCCATTTTTAGCGTGGAAGTCTTTCTGTATGTAAACCTCTTCATTTATTTATTTCTTTTTGTTTGACTGCTACTGTAATTTCTCTTAAAGTTATTAGTGAAGGCTGGGAGTAGTGGCTCATATCTATAATCCCAGCACTTTGGGAGGCCAAGGTGGGTGGATCACCTGAGGTGGATGGATCAACTGAGGCCAGAAGTTTGAGACCGGCCTGGCCAACATGGTGAAACCTTGTCTCTACTAAAAATACAAAAGTAGCTGGGTGTGGTGGTACTTGCCTGTAGTCCCAGCTATTCAGGAGGCTGAGACAGGAGAATCACTTGAACCTGGGAGGCGGAGGCTGCAGTGAGCTGAGCTCATGCCACACTCCAGCCTGGGCAAGACAGAGTGAGACTATCTCAAAAAAATAAAAAAATAAAAATAAAATGAAGATACAAGAAAACATGAGGCACTGTTATCTGTTAATAGAAAAGGGCCATGTTTCTTTTGTTTGTTTTTTGTTTAATTTATCTAGTGTATTTAGGGGGAAAAAACCGCCACATTTCTTACTGGGTGCCCCTGTAGTCTATGAAGCTGTGGTTCTGGCTAGTTGCACTAACTGGGGGTGAGATGTAAAAGGTGGGGACCAAGAGCTAAGTTAGAAATGTGGGCTGGTGAATTTTTAAAAAAAATGATTCATGTTTTAAAACATGTGTAGTTCAGAGAGTGGAACAGAAGAGTAAAAAAGACAGTGAGTTGGGATATTTTAGGTATTTATTTTGTGAACAGATGAAATAATAGGTCATTAAAATACTTTTTTTTTTTTTGAGACAGAATCTCACTCTGCTGCCCAGGCTGGAGTGCAGTGGCTTGATCTTGGCTCATTGCAACCTCCGCCTCCCAGGTTCAAGCAATTCTCTTGCCTCAGCCTTCCAAGTAGCTGGGGTTACAGGCATGAGCCACCACACCTTGCTAATTTTTGTATTTTTAGTAGAGATGGGGTTTCACCATGTTGGTCAGGCTGGTCTTGAACTCCTGACCTTGTAATCTGCCTACCTTGGCCTCCCAAAGTGCTGGGATTACAGGTGTGAGCCACTGTGCCTGGCCAAGACTGACCTTTATTAAATTAAAAACAAGGTATTGATTATGCATATGATGCTTATCTCATCATTGGATATCGTAAATTCTAACACTCCTGAATTATTCAGGCAAAACTGCAGCTCTGCCTTCTTCCCCACCAGCCCTCCCTTCCTATCTCTGCATATGTAAATAACATTCCAAATCAAGACCTCAGTGACTCCAGTCTACAAATACCAGTGATTCCTAAAACTCACCTATCCCAAAAGCAGTCCATGAATCAACCCACTCTTCAGGTGGCTTGCTGGCTTACTCTCAAGACAGGCTATAGAGGCAAAGGATTATGAGCTAGGCTTCTGGAGTCAGACTTCTTTGCTCTAAACCTTGGCCCTGTTTCTGCTGGCTGTAGGCCTTGGGA